AGATATTTATACTCTACCACTACTACAGCACTTCCATAAAGCAGCACGTTTTGGCTCCTACTTCTTTTTTTTTTTAATAGAGTTATCAGCTGCAAATCAGATATTCCAGTACAGCGACTTGCTTTACATCCACAAAGTTGCCCTCAGCATTACTTCCTTCTGTGAGAGCTCAGGAGAGCAAAGTAAACTAACAGGTGATGTGAGCTGTCATCTATCTACCAGCCTCCAAAGAAAATGAAAGGGTCTCTGCACTGCAGAGCACCAGAGGTTGAGCAGAACAGCGGCCAGGCAGTGGCTGAGCAAGCAAGACTTGCTTGGGCAAGGCTGTTTGCAAATGGGAACGAGGTGAGAACTGCTTACTGACTGTTGTTGGGGGTATTTGTGGGTTTTGTTCCAATGAATGTCTGAGGAACAGCATCTATTCAAGAAAGGTAAAAAGTCGGACCCCCTCCTGCTTATAGGCTGCCTTCAATTACTGGAAGGCTGCAGCAAGGGCTCCCCACAGCCTTCTCCTCTCCAAAGTAAGCAAGCCCAGCTCCCTCAGCCACGACAATTCACCTTGCCCCAAAATAATGAGGATAACAAAGCTCAGTTGTCCTCCTGAGTCACAAGGGCCTCTAAGATGTGGGTTGATGGCCCTACCCTGATGAGTCTTACAGACACTGCTCCTGTTTACCAAGTGGGGATCACCAACAGGAAAGAGAGGCTGCGAGATGTGCTGACAAGCCAACAGCAAACAGAAACACCTATTTTACAGAGAGGGAGGCAGGGAGGGAGGATAAAAGTTCAGCGCTTCCAATATAGTTAAGGTTGAACTGTGACAGGCATCACCGTGATGAAAGCACGAGTTATTTGTGGCAGCTCAGGAACACCAGAGTCACGTAGGTCCTGCCAGCCTGCTCAGCTGAGTGATGCTGGGAGCAAGGCAAGAACAGAACCGTGGAGAGGGAGCTGCTCCTTCATCCTCCTGCCCAAACAGTAAATAACACCAAATATCCCACAGTCTGGAGTCTGCCATGCAAATGCCACAGCCTCCCCAGGCACACCATGCCAGGGCTTACAATTTTCCCATGGAAAACAATTTGCTCACATCCAGCTGGTGTTTCCCTTGCCCCAACTTGTGGCCATTGCCCTTCGTCCCGTTGGACAACGCACAGGAAATTAAGCCCCCCAGTAAACCTTCAGAGAAGCGATGGCCTCAAATTGAGCCAGGGGGGAGGGAGGGAGAGGTTTGGGTATGAGGAGCAATTTCTTCTCTCAAAGAGAGGTGATGCACTGGAATGGGCTGCCATGGGAGGTGGGGGATTCAGCATCCATGGAGGTGGGGATGTGGCACTGAGGGATGTGGGCAGTGGGCACAGTGGGATGGATTGGGCTCGATGGTCAGGAAGGTCTTTTCCACCCTTCATGACTCTGTGATTCTATGAAAACACTTCAACTCTCTGAATTGATCTCCATGAGGGCTGACTCTGACCCTCCATCTGAAAATAGAACCCTGCTCCCTTATTGGAGAGGGAAAAAAAAGCAGTGATTTCTGACACTCATGTCAACAGATTAAATCATTGCAGCTGCTGTGATGCAGCCAGTTTTCAACCAAGTTTTCAATCTTCTTGACCCACGAGACTGAGTAACAGGCTGTGGGCATGAGAGAAGGCACACACACATAAGGCAAAGGGAAGGTGACATGGAACTGCTTCCTTTGTGTTCATGGCAGACAGGGAGGTGAGAACAGGGCTGCAGCTAATCGAGGGGCTGCAAACTGCGTTCCATTCTGAGGATAAGAACCACCTCCCCAAACACGGTATCACAAACCACAGACCCACACACAGATGCATCTGGTTTGTTACGTGAAGAATCCAACCCCCTTTCCCAGACAGCTCCTCAGTGGTAGTCTGCCAGCCTCTCCTTTAGCAGAAAGGAAAACAAAACCATCAGACAAATGTGTTGTCTCAACAGCAAAGACTAAAAACCATCAATATGAGAACCGACCACTGCTCAGCCAAAATCAAAACCAAGTCATCTTTCTTCAGCTCAGTGAAGGGTGTCCACATCTCACTGCCTGAGCAGTGGAAGATCCCAGGCTAAGAGAAGCTGATAACTCTTACAAGTTTCTTAAGTGCACCAAATGGACTCGTTGCACGTTGTGGCCTGGTAGGAGGACATACCCCATAAAAGCACCATCTCAGACTGCCAGCAAGTCATCAGGTTGAGGTTACGTCTCCACTCAAAGTCACTGGGAGCTTCTACAATTCTTTCTGTTGTACATTAGCACCGCCAGCACCTAGGCTACTTGAGGAAGTCTTTTCAGCAGCCTGAGAGTGCACGTTTTAAATCTAAATGTGAAAAGCCATCCCAAACTCCAGCATCAGAGACACAGCGAATCCATACCTCATCGTTCCAAGCAGCACCAATGTGGGACAAGCTACAAAGCAAACTTGATGCCCAATGAACCTATTCTGAAAATGCAGCCACACTCCTCTTCCCCTCTCCTTGCTAGAGGGCCTCTAGCTGAGCTCCTAGGGACAGACCTTATGACACTTGAAAACTTCCTTTCCAATGCCTTCTCTAGCTTTCTGGCCTTTTATTCCTTTAACTGAAGCCACCACAGTGCAATAAATAGCAGAGAGCTTCTAAGAACAGAAATGCCTGTGACACAGTTCAGTATTACAACACACCGGGCCCCAGTGGGCTGACTTTAAACTACTAAATATGAGACATACAAGAGTGAGCTTTATATTTACAGCCACTGCCTGTCACCTGAAGTCACAATTACAAAACCTCATTTCCACAGTGCCCAAGATAAAGAACTCTCTCTACCAGGAGAAGCAAAACAAGGCACAGGAGTGGCTGGGACATCAGTCAAGCTCTCCACAGCTCCCTGCTGCACTGACTTCACACCACGTCTGTGTTGCCACAGAGCTAACACAAACCATTCCTTACAGCCCAAAGAATTCCTGGAAAGTAAATGAAGAAAAATAAGAAGAAAAAGTAAATGAAGAAAAAGAAGGAAAAAGAAAGAAAAAACAAGTGTCACTCAGCCCAGCATTCATCCTTGTACAGATAACTCTTTATACTTTATTGCAATTACTGCAATCAGTGCAACACAAGTGAAGATCTTTTCCAAAACTCTTTTCAAATAGACCAATTCTGAAGTTAATAATGACACAAAAGGATTTCAACAGTAAAAAACGATGGCTGCAATTTGGTTCCCAGCAGGAATGCTTGCTGCCCCTCCTTAAGAGCTCTGCAGTGGCCCCAGTTCAAATGTGATTCTTACAGGACTGGATTAATCAATTGCACTCAAGACCTTTCCCAGTGCTGCTTTACCTTCTGGATGGCTGCAGCTGCAATATTCATCCTTTAGCAAGGAAAAAACTATACATGGGCTCACACAGCAGGTTAATATCTTTACAGTGATTAAAAATTAATCTACACCAGCAGCAGAAGCTCAAACCTCGTTAGAAACGCTTTATTTATCGCCTTCCCATCACCCCAAATATGGTTTTAAGGGAACTGCACCAAGGACATCCTGGACCAGCTGTATTTTGGATCAAAGTAACACCCAACAGAGCAATCATGGGACCAGGTGGGATGCAACATTCACCACCAGGTCAGCGAGGCACCTCTTGGTGGAGTACGGCTGCTCCTAATGCCACCAGCAGGGTTTGCTGCTCTCACAATTCTTCCCCTCGAAGCAGTACAGACCAACAGGACAGCCTACAATACTAAGTGCCACAAAAAGAGCATGTTTTGGTGGGGAATAATGACCAGAATGCATATTTAGCATTCTAGTTCTAGCTTTGTCTCCCAGGCTTGCACAGGTGTGTCACAGTGCTCTGTAGTATAATCCACCCTGAATGACAAGTCCAAATTCAGGACTTAGACTAGAAACAGTCTAAGTTTCACAGATCCCAGCCTCTATTCACAAACACTACAGTTTCCCCTCTATAAAAGAATCTTTATGTTCATCATGGATACGAAGCTTCTAAAAAACAGTCTCAGTTCTCCTTCCAGTGCTCAAGTAACACTATGACTCCTCTTCCCCATGCAAACACCCAACAATCCTAAATTAATTTCCAGGTCCCTCCCTTTCCTCTTCATTGCACATCTTGTTTGGATCACAGCTCATGATGACTTAGAACACAGCACCCACAGGTTAGATCCCGAGTCCTACATTTTTTTCTCATGAGATAGATTAATGAAAACAGCCATGTGTCATCACCTGACCAAGGGTTCAGGCAGAGGAACTCAGTGATTGGTGGCTCTCATCCTCACCTGTCTTCAGAATTGCTCGCTTTGAAGCCTGCCCACATTTCAGCACATTTCACCATATTTACCTCCATATTGCAGTAGAAAACTAACAAAAGTGAAATCCTTATATTGTTAATTCCATCTGTCTCGAAAGGCACAGACTCTTTGGTGCTGGCAAAGGACAAGAGGAGATGGATTCAAACTGAAAGAGCTCTCCAGGTTAGATTGGAGATAGGAAGTTCTTTACACTAAGGTTGGTGAGGCAGTGGCTGCACAGAGAGCTGCTGCTGCCCCATCCCTGCAGACAGCCAAGGTCAGGGAACGGGGCTGTGAGCACTGATGGAGCTGTGGGTGTCTTTGCTCACTGGGACCAGATGGCCTCTAAGGGGCCCTTCCAATGGAAGCGATTCTAGGACTGAGGGCTAGGTTCCCAGGCAACCCCTATCGTGCCATAATTCTTTGTAATTCCAGGGTTTGAAGCGTCCAGACCCAGCCAGCAAGGGGAAAAAAATACCATAATTCACATTGCAAGTGACACCCTGAATTTCTAACATTGATGTAACTGCTCATAGCAAACTGCAGGTAACAGAAATGTCTGAATGCCTCTGCATTACATGTACCACAACACGTAACTTCCCCACGAGTCAACCATTGCAATGCTGAACTGAAGGCACGGCCCTGGGAAGGCAGCAGTGCAGCGGGATGGCCAACACCAGACGGAATTGCAGGCAGGTACTCAAGGCACTCACCCATCTCTGCCTTTACTGACAATCTTCACTTCGAAGTAATAAATGCCACAAGCTGCAGGGATGGGATGCGTGGCCCTGACCGAGGCGGCGTCTTTGTGATTCTTACCATGACCTGGGAAAGAAGAGAAGAGTCAGCGCTGGGACACCGGGATCTGCCGCGCGGATTGAGGGGCGGCTTCTCCTTCCACCTGAAAACGACTGGAGTGTTTTCATCGCACTGAAAGCAGCAGAGCAGCTCTGCCACCCTCCTTCCCGATGAACCCCCGTCGCTGTCGCCGTTGGAAGGAACCCGGCGGGGCACACGGTGCCGCCATCGCAGAGCTGCCATCCCAGCGCCGCACAGCAGCGGCACGCAGCTCCATTACGCAAGAGGGGAATGACATCAGTGTTTACCGAGCGGGCAGGAAAGGGGCATCGCCGTGCCGTGCAGGGCAGGGAGCGCCTGGAAGGGCCGCATCGCCGCGATCCCCGACCCCGCAGCGCCGGGACGGCTCCTCGTCCCGCAGCCCTCAGCCCCCCCCGCCCTCCCCGAGCCCCGCTCCCGCAGCCCGGCACCCCGCAACCTTTCCCCCCAGAGTAGCGGAGCCGGCCGGTCCCGTCCCGGCCGAGGGAACGCGAGCAGAGCCGCCGCGACCCGGCACCTTTGTAGTGGACGCGCAGGTTGCCCTGTGAGAGGCCGATGTAGTTGTACTTGTCCTTGGGACTCCAGGAGCGCGGCAGCGGCGTCTCCTCCTGGTTGACGGCCGGGTAAAGGCGGCGGAGGCGCCGGCTCAGCTCCTGCTCCTCGGGCGGCCCCGGAGCCGCCGCGTCCCCCCCGTGCGGGCTCCCCGCGCCCGCCTCCGCCATCTTGGATTCGCTTTGTGTCACCGGGCGGGGAGCGAAGCCCGGCTCCGGCCACCGGCCAATGGGCTGCTAGCGTGCCCACAATGGGGCCGCGCTGCCCGACGGGAAGCGGAGTCCGACCCACCACCTCCCGCCCGCCGTATGCAGTCGCTGGGACTACAAGTACCGATAGGCCCCGCGCGCGAGGCCACGCCCCCTCCCGCAGCGCGCCGTGCTGTGGGAAACGTGTCTCCTCTGCGCGGGGCCGAGCGGCGTCGGGCCGCGCTCAGGACTCCCGCTCCCAGAATGCCTCGGGGCAACGAGGCGCCGAGGGGCGGCCGAGAGGCCGCCGCGCCGCCGCCGGTGTCCGCCGCGCCGCCTCCGCGCAGGGCCCTGTTTCGGCCGCCCGGTCAGACGGACGAACGGAGCTATTCGGACGGCCTCGCTCCGATCGAGGCCGCCTCGCATAGCTCACCCGTCGCTGGACCGGGGCCGGGCCGCGGTGAGAGCGGCGAACGGCGTCAGGCGCGGCGCGGGCAGCTATGGCGGCGGGCGGGGGGTCCTGAGGCGGCCGTCTCCATGGCGACGGGCGTAAACAGGCGGCACCGCGGGGCATGGCGGCTAGGCGGGCTGAGAGGCGGTGAGCGGCAGAGCGCGGCGATCCGACCTGCGGGGCATCTCTCGTACGTGGGGAGCTGAGAGCCCCGCGCTGTGCTGCCCGGGGAGCGGCGGGCGGGGATTGTATCGGCGCTGATACGTATCTCAAGGGAGGGAATCGGCTGGGTGCGGCCGGGCACCGACGTGAGTGTAGGTTCACTCATTGAAAGGCCTTTCTCCTACACCCACCTGCTTCTAGGAAAGCCTGGTCCTGGCTGTATTTTTTCCATGGTTTGCCAGTTCTGCTGGCCAGCACTATGGCCACCCCAGAGAAGCAGCTTCACGGGCATTTTTGGGATCCCAAGTCCCAGCTCCTGACTCAGACAGCACTGTTCCAGCTCTGTTTCGAACCTCACCTCTTCAGAAGATCAGCTCGCTCAGATTTGCCCAGCAAAGGGCTCAGCTCGGCTGCTCTCACTGCCACAAGGAGCAAAGCACCCAATGTCACAGAATCACGGAATGACCCGGGTTGGAAGGGACCGCAAGGATCATGAGGCTCCAACCCCCCTGTGCCATGCAGAGCCACCAACCTCCATATTTCACAGCAGCCCAGGCTGCCCAGGGCCCCATCCAACCTGGCCTTGAACGCCTCCAGGGATGGACGGGGCATCACAGCCTCTCTGGGCAGCTGTTCCAGCACCTCACCGCTCTCACAGTACACAACTTCCCCCTGACATCCAACCTCAATCTTCCCTCCTTCAACTTAAAACCATTTCCCCTTGTCCTGCTGTTATCTACCCTTCCAAAGAGTTGATTCCTCTCTTGTTCATAGGCTCCCTTTAGGTACTGAAAGGCTGCAATTAGATCACCCCCTAATTTTCCCACCACCCTTCTCTTCTCCAGGCTGAACAAGCCCAGCTCCCTCAGCCTGTCTTTATACAGGAGGTGCTCCAGCCCTCTGATCATCTTTTTGCCCTCCTCTGGATTCTCTCCAACAGCTCCCTGTCTTTCTTGCACTGGGGGCTCCAGACCTGCACACAGTGCTGCAGATGGGGCCTCACAAGGGCAGAGTAGAGAGGGACAATCGCCTCCCTGTCCCTGCTGGCCACCCCTCTGCTGATGGAGCCCAGGATTCCATTTGCTTTCTGCTGGCTCATGTTAAGCTTTTCATTCATCAGGATCCCCAGGTCCTTCTCCGCAGGGCTGCTCTCAAGGAGCTCCTTCCAGTCTGCATGGATGCCTGGGATTCCTCCGGCCCAAGTGCAAAACCTTGCACTTTGCTGTGTTGAACCTCATTAGGCTCCCCCAGGCCCACTTTTCAAGGCTGCTGAGATCCCTCTGAATGGCATCCCATCCTTCCACTGTGTCAGCTGCACCACTCAGCTTGGTGTCGTCAGCAAATCTGCTGACTCTGTCATTGATAAAGATGTTAATGTCATCCCTGGAGGTGTTCAAGGCCAGGTTGGATGGGGCCCTGGGCAGCCTGGGCTGCTGTGAAATGTGGAGGTTGGTGGTCCTGCATGTGGCAGGGGGTTGGAGCTCCGTGATCCTTGAGGTCCCTTCCAACCCTGGCCATTCTGTGATTCTGTTGTGCCAGTCCTGGTGTTCAGCTGTACCACAAATCTCCTCATTGCTCTGTCTACATCACCCTGTTGGTTTTTTCCACCCATCAGGCACATCACAACTAGCTACTTTAGGTATACATCACCCAGATTCACAACCTCCAACAGAATATTCAGTTAATTCTGTGGCTTTTGAAAAGTCTCTTCCCTGCTGTTGCACAGGACCTCTCCTGAATCTTCCTCGAAGATTACCAGTTGCCAAACACACATCTGCAGTGTGAAACCTGCCCTGTCCAAGAAACAGAAGGCTCTGGTGAGTTCAGGTTTTAAGGGTGGAGGGAAGAGGAGTGGAATATAAACACTGTTCTTGGGCTGCGACAGCTGCTGTGGATGTATATGCCAGATGCTAAAGCCAGATTTTGACACATATAGTCCAAAATAAAGAAGAAAAAAAGTTGTTTAGAGCATCTTCCAGCCTTCAGGAACGCCTGCTCCATAGTGTGTGTCAGCAGACAAAGTAGTGTGGTGAAAACTATATCCAAATTATGCATAAATGAGTACCAAGAAGGCACGTAGCAACCAACTGATGAGTGGTTAAGGTCCACAAAAGTCACGTGTTTTGTTTCCATTTGCATTTAGGTTGTATTTCTATCCCACCGTCCTGCTGGGCAGTTAGATTGACTGTGAGGCATTGTCGGGGATATTTCAGCCTCATTTTGGCTCTCTTTTGTGTTTGCAGTGCTCTTCAAACATAATTCTTTCTCTCTCCAGTCTTTCCAGCTTTCTGTTAGAGGCCAATGGTCCATGTGGCCCGCATTTGCAGCCGGCCAGACAGTCCTAAGGAATCACAAACCCTGCAGTGCCCCAGAGGAGAGAACACCTAGGTAAGCTAAGCCACAGGACAGCTAGTAGCAGGGTTTGGAAACCAGGAATTTACAGAGCAGGATCTCTCCCAGCATTGTGAACAACGAGGTTGGCTTACCCAATAAAACTTGAGCATAAAAAATAACATTATTGGTTCTGACTGGTAGCAGCAGGCAGTAGGAACAAAACCCAAGTCCTTGAGCTGATGTCTGTTCTCTTGTGTCTCTGCAGCAATGAACAGGCCCTTCTTACCATTCCAAAGCCACGTCACCTGGAACAACTGGAGTCTTACTTAAGGAAAGAGCTGCAGACTCTTGCCCTGACTAAAGGGATCTCCCAGGAACTGAAGCTGCAGGTCAGATCCAAGTTTCTGTTGACTTGGAACAACATACTGAGATGGGTTACTCAAACTGGTCATCCAAAGGAAAAAGTAGGTGGGAAAAGTAGGCAAATATAGTTTGTATGAGATAGCCTGGTTCACAGCTCACAATAGAGAACTTACTCAGAATGTCATTTGTTTGTACATTGGGTTTATATGTTGTTGAGTAGTATGCTCCACAGCTTGTGTAACTTTCCATTTTCAAATCAAAGCCCAAGGCTTCAAAAAGACATGGTAAAATGAAGGGGGTGTGAAACTACTTACTCACTGAGCTCCCAAAGACTCCTGCCTAAACCATAAAGCAAGGTGTAGGCTCCAAAATTTTCATTTCAAAAGCTTTCATTTGTGAAGTTCTTTGCTATGAGAGCGGTGAGGTGCTGGAACAGCTGCCCAGAGAGGCTGTGATGCCCCGTCCATCCCTGGAGGTGTTCAAGGCCAGGTTGGATGGGGCCCTGGGCTGCCTGGTGTAGCATTAAGCGTGGAGGTTGGTGGCCCTGCGTGTGGCAGGGGGTTGGAGCTTCGTGATCCTTGCGGTCCCTTCCAACCCTGGCCATTCTGTGATTCTATAATTATGTCTCTGCACATGACAAGAATGGGGCTCCTTGTCAAGCTTTTGCTTAACCAGGATCCCCAAAATTAAGTTTTTATCAGGCCTGCCCCTGGGGGTTTGTTGTGAACGTTTGAGAACACAGCTACTGAAGACACTGAAAACCACTTTAATTCAAAACACAATCAGAGCATTTATGCTGAGTGACACATTTGGATTAGAGTTTCTCTGCATGAATTCTAATTCCCAGAGGAATCCTGTAGTGATAAGAAAGGAATGTGGTAAATGGAAAAGAATGGAGGGAAACAACCACAGAATCTTTAGGACTGGAAAAGACCACTAGGATCATCAAGTCCAACTGTCAGTTAATCAACTGATTACGGATGGGTGATTAACAGCAAGAGAAAACAGAGGTTTCATGAATGTTATTCTTGGAAAGTACTTTTTTACTGGATGACACGACATGTTTAGTTGCATTCAGTAGTGAGGTATGCTCAGTGAGAACATTACTATTGCTAGCAAAGCCCTCCCAGGCTCACATTCAACATGGCACTCTGACTGTCCCCCCCAAACAAGTTTTACTCTGCTGAGGACAGCACATGGGCTGTCCCATCAGGGCCCAACTATCTGAATTCTGAGAAATGAACAACGTCTTCTCAAGCTCTCTTTCCTCTCTTAGCCCTACAGAGAGATCTTTGAATTCTTCATAGATAACTTCAAGACCTACAAGCCCTTGCTGTCAGCTATAAAGAATGAGTATGAAGCCACCCTGGGTAAGCTCTTGGACTTTGACCTCTGAGGGGAAAACACTGATGGAGATGTAGTCTTACACAGCTAATTACATATTGAAGATATATATATATAGAATGAACATTCTAAATATTCACATAGAATAGTTCTCTTTGAGGGACATACAAACATGTCAAATGATAAAACTACCTTCCTGGTCTGTTAATGAAGTCTTCCCACATGGGAGTCTACTTCCCTCATACATAACAGGTGTTTTTATATATATATTTTTCAGACCTTTATTATTTAGATTGAAGGTTTTTCTGTAGTTATTTATCCTTATGATCTTCACCACACACACAGTTCAGGCAACATCTGTACCCCAGCTTTTCTGAAACCACCATGCTGATAGCAGAGTATATCATACTGATATATTTGGATGCACTTGCAGTGGTAACTTGAAGCTTGCATTACTCCTGAAGCAGGGCAGGGCAGAGAGCTGAACTGGCTGTTCCCTGTCCATTTGTGGTGTGCCTTTAAACCCCTCTTGGCTCTCAGATGCCACAGTGATAGCAGTGCTTTGTAAACAGTGCACTAGAAATAGCTTCTCATTGGGAACTCCTGTCACACTGAGCAGCTTACAGCTGTCAACACTTTTCTAACGGGACAGTTTCTCCAATAAAATGTGTCGTTTATCCCAGTAGCTGTTACCTGACTGCCTACCTATAGTCCCTCACTGTAGGCAGAAATCTTTGCACAGTGCAAGATCAACGAATCAATATTAATCGTTACATCAGAACATTTTACTAACAGTTTCCTTCTGGAACTCTTCAGAAGATATTCCTTCAGCTCCCAGGGGATTACTAGTGTCAGTTCCATAGCCTGTATTGTGCTGAAGCTTACTTTTCAATTATTATTATCTTTCTTTAAGCATATTTTCTACTCAAGATGTTTTATTGATTCCTCCTTGCCAAGTGGTCAGCAGCCAGTTGTGAAACTCTCCAATGACACAACATAGTGTTCTTTGTTCACACCAAGTGAGCTATGCTAGTGCTCTCATTTTTGCCATCTTCTGGGGAGCTGGCCTGGTACCAGCGTCATAGTGAAAGAGCTCAGAAAAACCTTTGGTACAGTTACAGCACAGGAAGGAAACTCACACCCAACTATAATAAGAAAAGTCATTCCTGTTTTTAGATTTATGCATGCATTTTAGGTTTTAAAATACAGAGTCTGCTGCATGGTATTTGTACATGAATACTTATATTAGAGTTCTGGCAAAGAGGAAAATGTCTGCAAGTGACATTACTCAGTATCTGCCAGCATTTCTATCCTGTTCAGGAGAGAGAATGTATGCATTATTCAGCAAGGAAAACCTTTGCCACAGCCTCATTTGAATTACATCTTCTTGTGGTGGAATTTCATTTAGTCATAAAAGCAAGCTTCCACAACAAGGAGGTGGTGACAGGTGGAGTTCTACCACGTGACTGGGATCTGGCACCCAAGCACTCACACCAATCCCCTCAGATAAGTGCCTTTAGGAAAAATAATCAATTCAAAGGGGAAATAGTTGAGAGTGAAAAGCACAGATGGCAGTAAAGCCAATATAATGAGTTCTGTATTAGTTGTACTGATGAAAAAGAGAAATGAAGAGAGGGCAACACGTCCCTGAAAAGAGAGGAGAGTGTGTAGACAAGTTTGTATGCAGGTGGCACAAGGCCTTGCATTTGGAGACAAGAAAGCCAATCTAAGTTTGTGAAGACCATGCCTTTACAAAGCCAGGTAAACCACTAATCAGCAGCTATCTTCAGCTCTGTATGCTGCCTGTGCTTAAATGATGACAACCTAGTGAAGCATGATGGCATCATCAGTGTTCATTGCCACAAAGCCTGAAATACTCAAGGAGACAAAATTCAAGTAAAATTCAGGTTTTGTTGCTCATTGTAAGAACTTACCTCTGCTCTCTTTAGCTCATCAGAAGGAGACAATCCGTGCCCTAGAGCCCTTGAAGGCCATGGTCACCACCGTGTCTGAGGAGTGCACCCAGCAGATATTAGCACTGCAGGAAAAGGAGAAAGTGGAAATAAATACTTTAAAGCAAGAGAAACACCATTTGTTAAAGTTTATTGACAACATGAAGGAAGAGAAGAGTTCTCTTCAGACTCAGGTAAGTAAGGCTACAGGTCAAACACCTCCCAGCTTCACCTGGATCCATCTGATCTCTTCCTCCCAGGTGCTCATCCTTTAGTGCCAGGAGAAGTACTGCAGCTGGTGGTGAGCAGCTGGCACTGTAGAAATGCTGGATCTCAAGAACATCCGTGTTCCCTTAGGGCTGGCTGTGCTGCTACCAGAAGCCTTGACTTGTAGCTGCTGTCCCAGACAACCAGCTTCTGCACAGACTGTAGACTCCACAGTCGTGGAGATAGCATTTGTTGAACCTTGGAGACTTGGGCTTCAGCACATAGATTGAAACACTCAAAAATATTTCTTCCCTTAGCATTTCTAGACTTCCCTTTGTTTCCTCCACTTGTTGGTATTTACAAGCCTCATATGGGGATAAACTGAACGATCTCTGAGGCAACTGAGAATTTACATACAGTTTGCTTTTGGGGGGAAGGGGAGGCACACGGTTTGCCTTCAGAGTTCTCACCAGAATCACAGGAGCTCTCCAAGCTGCCTGCTGCTTTTTTGGGGGATGGAATTACAATAGAGAAACCTTGGAACTCAGCATGAACTGTATCTAATTCGCTCTCTGAAAGGCAAAACACAGACAGAGCACTCTTCAGCAACCTTCTCTGGAGTCCAAACCTTTCTGGCATGTTTCTCCCTAACCATCCTTTCCTACAGTGTTATTTCTTGCCACTCTCCTGCTCCAGTTTCTTTTTCCTACTTCACATCCCTTACCCCACACCTGCCCCATAGTTCTGCTCTAGGCTCACCACGCCACCCCAAGGCTTCCCACCGATGCTGATCAATTCCTGCAGGTGGAGCACCTGCAGATGAGTGTAGCTGAGGAGTACACACGCTACCTCCAGGAGTACGGCGCCCGCAAACTGCTTGTAGCAAAACTGAATGAGGTGCACAGCGAGCAGCTGGACATGAAACAGCACCAGGTCCAAGGTGGTAAGTAGATCTCTGTAGGGATCTGTGTTGCCCAGAGGCCCATTGCACACCCACGGTGCAGCATTAAGCGTCTCCAAAATATCATCAGATATGATCTGACTCTTAAAATAAGCTAAATTAGTGAACAAAATATCCATAAGCACATGGGGAAGGGATTAGGAGGGGACATGGGTGGGCAGTTGGGCTAGATGATCTTCGTGGTCTTTTCCAACCATAACGCTTGTTGTGTAAAGGTGAAAAGGGTGAAGATGTGGTGAAGCTCACTCTGGCACTGAAGATGGCTCGGCAGGATCTCACAAAAGCCCAAGTGAAGCTGAATGCAATGACAGCAGAGTACGGAGACGTTGTGCCTAGGAAAGATTTTGAATCACTGGAGAAGAAATACTCTGACTTACTTCAGGAGGTCAGCACAAGCTCCAAATTTTTGAGCTGTATCACATGAGTGCAAAGATAATGGGATGTATCAGTATTCAGGTTAGGATAGGGACTGTGTACACACAACTCACATACAGGCTTTTGAACTATGTTTGTCTGACATTCACTGCACAGTTTTGTCCAAAGCACAGCAAACTAAAACTACTGCTGAACCGGGCTGCTAACAGCTACCTGCCTTGCTGGATTTTGCTTTCTCCAATAGCATTTCATGGCTGCAACTCCAGCCATTGACTCCACCACCAGGCAGGTCAATGTATTTTCCAGCTGTGATAGAACCAGAGGAGGTTCCTCAAGCCAGACAAAACTGTCCATGATAGAAGCCATCCCTCCAGCTCCAAGCTCTCCCAAGGAGAACCTGTTGTGTCTGATGATAAGGATGGCTTTGAGTTGTGCATCAGTATCTTAGCATTTCATCAGAGAAATGCACTGAACCAGGCCAACTCTGTAATTCTTCTCTCTCTGCTCCTCACCACCCTCACTGATGACTTTTTCCTTATATCCAACCTAAATCTGCTATCTTTGAGTTTGAAACCATTTCCCCTTGTCCCGTCAGCACAGACCCTGCTAAAGATTCTGTCCACTTCTTTCCTGTAGCTCCCCTTTAGATACTGAAAGGCCACTCGTGGGTCTTCCTGGAGCCCTCTCTGCTCCAGGCTGCACAGCCCCAGCTCTCAGCCTGTCCTGGCAGAAGGTGTTCCATCCCTTGGATCATTTTTGTGGCCCTCCTCTGGATACACTCCAACAGGTCTGTCTCTCCTGTACTGAGGACTCCACATCTTTGCAGATGTTCTTGCAGCCGAACAAGAATAAATTATATGAAAAGGAAATGTGTTCTAAATAAAGATGAATGGATCTGAAGGAAATGCACATAACATTTCTAGAACAAAAAACAAAACAAAACAAAAACACCTCTCCCATTCTCTCCTAGTGCATTAAGGTCTGTTTTGAAACAAAAAACACAGCATAAAAAAACATCACTGATATATTCTATTTGAAGTTTCTGGAAATGATAACAAGAAAAAGTAATGAATTGTTTATTTTTCATCCAATCTAAAGGCAGTTAACCAAGAATGCTCTCTGTGTATCTATGTGCTGAACTGAATGCTCACCTGATCTGTCAGACAACAGAAAATCTCCACTGCTGTGGCTGGTTACAGCCCTCCTTTCTGTATGCTTTAGATGAAGACTCTGAGGAAGGATTTTGAGCAGCTCCACGAGGAGTATGGAACACTGCTGGAAATCCACAGAGAGACTGCAGAAGAGCGAGACAGCTTCTACAGCCAACTGCAAGAAGCTGAACGCAGCCACACGCCCCGACCCAACTGGGCAAAGTGTTCAGGTGCCACCTGTACTCAGCACTCGTTTGCTTGCAGAAGAGATGTCTATAGAGCTGTATTCATTGCAAGGCTCCCACTGGGCTCACACAAAACCAGCACTCACAGGAAAAATGCCCCTCTGTGAACAGCTCAGCATCTTTTTGTTGTTGCAGATGTGATTCCTGGCGGAGTGGAGCGGTGGCGCCGTCTGGCCGAGGGGAAGAGCAGCAATCAGCTGGTGGATGTGCTTCTGGAGGAGATAGGAACAGGAGTGCTAAAAGAGATGAATGCCTTCCATGGATGGGTACATGCATGCTTTCTCCTCTGTTTGTTTCCACTGAGCTTCATTGGTAGTAAATATCCATTCAGAAGGTGGGGAGGTTGCGTTCATGGTTGGACTCAGCGTATTCGGCGCCCACCATCAGCATAACCACTGAAAATTTTAGAGCTGGGGAAACTCGGATGCAAGAGAAAAGCTGAACCTGAGGGTAAGCAGATCGAGGACAGCTGAAGTATAGAAGCATAGAATCATTAAGATTGGAAAAGACAACTGCTGAGATGAGCTTAGCCAAGCACCAGAATGACTAAGAGTGCATAGCAGGAGTGCACTGTGGGGAACGACTCCTTCCCACGGCATCAGGAGGTAATTCAAACCACACCACCCCATTGCACTGCACCCTGACAAGCAGGAGAGGCAGGAAATGATACAGGGACAAGGCAGTGTTACAAGAGATCTTCACCTCATAACATATCCAAACTTTTTCTCAGGGACAGAGTAACACTGCCTTGGTCCTTCCACGTCTCTCCCTAAGAAAGTCACCAAAACGTTGCTCCAGTGCTGCACTGATGCCAGCGAGGGGAAGGCCTCATCTGTTTCTCTTCTATTTCCTAGGGCAAAGGTGACAAGGTTCCTGCGTACCTGAGGTATGAAGGTGAAGTCAAGAACAAAAAGCCAACTAAGAAGGATGTGGTGAACATCCTGAAGGACATCTGGAAAGAGAAAATTGCACTAGATCAGCAGGTTTGTCATTTTCCTTCTCTAAAGCCCTGAGCTAAATCAACCACACTCATGAATCTGAGACCTTAACTAGAATGACTGCTGCTATTCTGGGATGTTCTGGTGCACTGTACACCAGGATGCCATCACAACTACGTAGCATCTGTTCTTAGGTTTGGAAGCCCTGGCAATATCTGTGCCACCAAAGCATGGTCAATTGTTTGGGTTTTTTTGTTTTGTTTTTCTGGACTGATTTTAACCCATGCCAATCCGCTATGAAAGTCCAGAGGAACAAGTGGCACCACAAGAAATGAAGATGAGGAACAGAAAAGGAGGAACAGAAAAAAAAAGTCACTTATTAAGCAAATTAGCATAAAAGTGCTTTGGTTTTGTCACACAAAAAAAAGCAGACAATTTCCCCTTTTTGTCCAGGGTGGGTTGGGAGTGGTGGGTGGAGGCTAACGAGCCTGTGTTTGAACCTTCTCATGTTAGGGACATGTATGATGCCCTGTCATCATGCCTCAGACACAAGAGCAACCTTTACAGAGGCAGAATCACTTCACAGATTTCTTCACTTGAGCTAGAAGCCTAAACACATCCCTTAGGTCAGCCCTAAACAGTTTAGTGTTTCCTATGGCTGCTTTTTACTTTCAGATTAGATTCCTGGGGAAGCAGGGCTGCTGTCTGTCTTCAGGTCTCTGCAGTAACTACTCTACGTTGTCTGAACCCGTGAACAAAGCTTAGCTAAATCAGATGGAGGGGAAGCACCTCACAGGTATTAAGTTCCTAAGTATTTCACAAAAAGGGCTAGGAGAAAAGAGATGATTTGTGGACTCGGCAACAGGAGAGCTTCCTCATAGACCTACCTTTTAGACTGTACAGACTAAACCTGGAAGAAAGGCTTGGAATGACCAAATAGCAGGGAAGTCCTACCAGAAGACACATCTGTATGCAAACAGCTGCAGTCAGACTGGCAGATTTGATTTAGTTGTGCTGCTCATGCACGATGCTCACTTGTTATCTGCAGACAGGAAAGCGTTCCAGTCTTCCTGAGTTCTTTCTCAGCTACCTCCAGAAGAAGTATGGAGATGCCTCTGCTATGGAATGGTCTTACAGCCTGTATGAGTACATGAGACTCTGCCCCTCAAACCATGTCATGAGCTCGTTCTATGAGATACTCACTGGAAAGGTAGGCAACCCGTGCCCCTGTGCTGCACCTCTGCCCAGACATTGCTGGTAGGACAAACAAGAAGGCAGGGAAGCGTTCTGCAAGGCAGCTTCACTTCACTGCCTGTTCACAAAGAAACATTAAGGTTGGAAAAGACCTCTAAAATCAAGCCCATCCCCACCATGCCCACTGACCACATCCCTCAGTGCCACATCTCTGCAGTTCTTGACCACCTCCAAGGACAGCGACTCCACCACCTCCCTGGGCAGCCTGTCCCAATATATTGCCACTATTTTTATTAATATCAAACCTAAACCTCCCTGGCACAACTTGAGGCCGTTCTCTCTCATCTTATCACTATTTCCTGGGAGAAAAAGGCCAACCCCCAAGACACATGACAGTGAACAACTGTCTCCAAAGCAGTTTGCTTAAGGAGGAACTGTTGTGAACAGCCACCCTGCAAGCCATGGTGTTGCTTGACAATTTATAAATCACTAAAAGCAGCTCAGGTAAAAGCTGATTTAGAAGGGAGTGCAATCCTTTCCCAGTTTTGCTTCCCTCTTGAATGCAACCCAAGGGCCAACAGATAAGTCAGTTCCTGACCTGTGAACCTTCCCTGTTCCACAGGTAGCTGAAGAGCAATATCACGACCAGAATCAGCTGATTTCTGACCTGCAGAAGCAGCTGGCTGCCTGTGACAGCTCCAGCAATGGGTCCCTGCCCAGCAAGCAGTTCAGGCAAGAGCCAAGCACCACACACTGAGCTCTGCATGCTGGGATAAGCCAAGTCCATCTGCTTCATTTATATCTGTCAGCACAGCCCAGGGAACAGTTTTCCTCTCTTAAATTCTTGTGAGGACAGCCGTAGCAAGCGTCTACTTGTAAAACTCAGCATAAGGTTTTAGAATTATGTGAGAACTGCAGGTTTTGATTAGCAAAACTGGGAAACCCGTGAAGAGATACAGGGCACTGGGGTGCTGCACACACGTAGTGGGATGAGGCAGCATCTGCACCCAGCCCCATTTCCCAGGGAAGAGAGAGAGGATCCGCTGCAGTGGATCCCTCCCTCCTGCAGATTCCCTCCTGCTCCTAGCATGGGTCACAAAGCATTTCTGTGAGTTCTGCCCCAGGTGCAGGATTTGTCAATTGGATTTGTCAATCACCTGTGCTTTCATAAACTGTACTCACTAGAGATAGCATTTCTATGGCACAGAATTAAGGCAAGGGCCATCTCCAACACACAGCTGGGAACACAGCTCTGGTGCAGACATGCCAGCTCCCAGCTAGCCAACACCATGCTGCATTCAGAACTTCCTAAATGGTTCAGCATCAACGTCCACCTGAAATCATCACCCTTGCTTTGTTCCCTGAAGGTACATGCACTTCCTTGACATGTGTATCCTCTCTGAGGGCAATGAAGTTTTGAAGATGTAGCTCACGGTGTACATGCACACTCTGCTAGCTTAAAATGCTGCCGTCCATACCAGCACTCATTAACTGCTCACATGCTGTTGCCTGTCTCCAAGCAGAATGGCTCTGAGGGAGGCTTTTCCTCTGAAAAGAAGAGATGCAATCCAAGAGCTGGTTGATGCAAGCAGGTTTAATCTGGACAGTGATGAAGACCTCATTGACTACACATCCTTATTCGAAGAAGTAAGTTCACATAAGTTTTCTTTTTGACTTGGGTTTAAGCAAAATACTGAAATTAGGCTGGTCAGACTGCTTATCCAACTACTATAGCTGCACTGCACACCACAGGCTCTGAAAACCACCTGCAGATCTCTGTAATGCAAACTTGTGCTTTTTTTCTGTGAAAGAGTTTTTCCTGATTTTATTTTCCCTTTTCATATAGAAATTCCATTTCTACGAGAGCTATTTTAACTTACAGTGGGGAATGACTCTTACTGGGATGGAGGAACACGTGATCCGTGCTCTAAATTCTTTCAGGATGAAGAGGGCAACCCTGAACCTTTTGTTGCAAAGCTCAGGAGCCAGTATGTCAGTGAGAAGCAGGAGTACCTGCAAGAGCTAAAGAAGAGCCTGGGAGATGTAACGTACGTACAAAGGAGTGGGCTGATAGGGGTGGGGACAGTGGATCAGAATCCCCCCGTGGACACAGGAGCACATCGCTCCTGTGCAGGGACTCAGATTTGAATACCTGCTGTGCCATACATTTGGGTCTTTTCATTGCCCACTTCCCCACTCCTTTCTCCTTGTGCCTTTCTCCTTGTCACCCCTCCAAACTCACTGTGCCCATGTGCTGGGGCTGGATTTGAACTTGCAGGGACCCGATAAAGATGCTCAAGCAGTGCAGAGGATGAGGTCCCTAACAACAACCTTAGTGTGGAGAGAGGCAAGAAAGAAGGAGGATCCTGGGAGCCACCAGGGCACTGGGCTTAGGCTGAGCACCTATGCTACACAAGGCGTGCTGCTCAAGTCTGAGCTGAGCAAGGGAAACTGTGGTCAGTCAGGAGTCTCGCCTGACAGCCAGGGAAAACAGAGAATAAGTGAGATCAACACACACAGGACAGGCAGAAAGCTTCTGGAATGACCATTGGCCGAACCCCCTGCAGGAGTCAAGAAGAGAGCTGCAGGTGCACTGGGAGCCAAAATGGCAGAGAGAAAAGAGAAGGCTGTGCTGGGAGCATTTAGACAAGGAGGAGCATTTGGGGACATGGGCTGGAGGTACTGGCAAGCAGCAGCGAGTGGC